AGGAATAAGTATTTTTGCAAGCAGATGGGCTACATATATATACTATAATACTGCATGTGTGTTTATATTTAATTAACTTCCGGTAGAAGAGTACGAGCGTTACCTGTGTTTTACTTGGAGTATGTGTTTTACCCGTGTTTTTACTGGGCATATGTGTGTTACCTGTGTTTTACTGGAAGTATGTGTGTTACCTGTGTTTTACTGGAGTATGTGTGTGTTACCTGTGTTTTACTGGAAGTATGTGTGTTACCTGTGTTTTTACTGGGCATATGTGTGTTACCTGTGTTTTACTGGAAGTATGTGTTTTACCTGTGTTTTTACTGGGAGTATGTGTGCTAGTTACCTGAGTTTTTACTGGGATCAGGACCACGAATCACTAACTCAGCTAATATAAATACATTATGTAAATATTTGGCATATTTCACTCAGAAATTGACAATACTTTATGCCATCCCTCGTAAGTGATGTTTTATTTCTTAAAATTATATTGTATGGGGGTTAAGGTAGTACGTAACAAACTCAAATGTCTATAATAATGTATAGCTCATGTAGCGAATGGTGCCGTTTTGCCTGAGACATAAAAAGTGCCTGCTTACAGCGTATCAGGTTTATCACCTGTTGTTATAGACGAAAATATTATAGCGTGTGAGTGTCTTTAATCTTTGCTAGTATCCATAGCAACAAATGATATTCAACGAGTAACAGAGTAACATGATCCTCACTACTAGTATCTCCATCAGCTCCAGCCGCGCTATTATTACATAAACTTCAGCAACTGAATTGGAGCAACTACCACACGCACACGCGACAGACGTTTCTCATACATATGTCTTCATTATTATAACAATAGACCGTGTTGAAATATAAACATCCAAATCTATGTACCACGGCATGTTTTAAACCACAAGTACGTGTAAAACAAGCATGAATAGGTCATTCTATTACACTAAAAACAACCTGCATAGAGACTGAGAAAACATAGATCAATGTGTAGTTAATATCTTTTGACGACTAATAATTTTCTTGCATAGTCAAGTTAAACGTAATTATAGAAAAACGTTAAAATATTTCATTGTTTTGTTTTTCAGATATTCGCGAAAAACTGACAGACTAGAAGGTAGCAAGCTAATTACACAGCGCCCTCTGCCAGGTCTTGTAGTACTTCTATCTAACCTACTAGTAAAAAAAAATGACTGTCATCTATATAACGCACCCACGACACCACGTGCGTAACGAGATTAGTTCTTTTGCAGTAAAGAGACCCGAACATTGGACCCTCCAATCCACATTCTGAGACTGTAACCACAAAGCCACGATCGACCCAGGTCGTTAGTTTTATATGTGATGAACTAGTGATTTCTATAAACAATAAATTTTGATTTATCGTTATTTAACTGATACATGTATCTGTTCCCAACGAATTATTATCAGCTCATAAGTGAGATACGTTAATATTACCTGACAAACTAATAAACTTTTAATATTTATTAATATATTATAGTATAAAAACTAGTCAGAAGTCCAATTAATAACCTGAATCTTTATTTCAGTAACTCATTAATCAAATTGGTGTATATAAGTGTTTTCCACTCACAAAAAAAAAAGAAACCTATCATTCCATAGGTATTTGAAGAACTTGTAGCATTTCGCCACAATTTAATTCTTCGTATTGTTAGCCAACACTGAGCAGCTGGTACATAATTGAATAGAGTTGTTTAAACATTTGTTTAACAACAAATAAAAACTTGGAATGGTCTATTCTTTCATTGGAGATGTGTCTTGAGCCAGACTAGTTTCGGAGAATTCCACTCCTCATCAGTGATCGTGGACATTACCAAAAATGAAATATAGAACAAACCCAGCCTTTTATAGTAGTGAGGTATTGAAAATCGAAATGGTGTATTTAAGTGTTTCACACTCACAAAAAAAAAAAGAAACCTATCATTCTATAGGTATTCGAAGAACTTGTAGCATTTCGCCACAACTCTGTTCAATCATTAATCAGATGGCCGGCATGGCCAGGTGGTTAAGGCACTCGACTCGCAATCTGAGGGTCGCGGGTTCGAATCCCTGTCACACCAAACATGCTCGCCCTTTCAGCCGTCGGGGCGTTATAATGTGACGGTCAATCCCACTATTCGTTGGTAAAAGAGTAGCCCAAGAGTTGGCGGTGGGTGGTGATGACTAGCTGCCTTCCCGCTAGTCTTACACTGCTAAATTAGGGACGGCTAGCGCAGATAGCCCTCGTGTAGCTTTGCGCGAAATTCAAAAACAAACAAAAAACAAACAAACATTAATCAGACTGTTTATTATATACATTATATAATGAATACTGTTTTATTATATATGTAGCATGCTACCCAGTGGCACAGCGCTATATCTGCAGACTTACAACGCTAGAAACCGTGTTTCGATACCCGCGTTGGGCAGAGCACAGATAGCCTATTGTGAAGCTTTGTGCTTAACTTCAAACAAACAAACAGAGACCCCTAGAGTTCAGGTGTAGCTGTTCTTAATTTTAAGCTACTAACCAAAAACGTGGCATCCGTTCAACAGTACTCGCCGCCACAAGAGCTTTGTTCTAGTTGGAACGAAATAACGAGGTAAACT